TACTCATCAGCCAACAAATCTCAAAATATCGAAAAATGAAAAAAACGAGGTACTTGTTCACTCAAATCTAGGAGTCAATTGGTATTGTTAGTACCTCAACTGAAATACTCGATTCTGTTTGGTTGATTAGCGGTCAACAATATGTACTGTTGACCGCTATTAGGTCCTGTTGACCGCTACTTTTGAAAAAAAGTTTCATGGCGTCACAAAAAACATGGAAGACGGACATTTTGTAGATGAAAATGATATTTTGACTTTACTAGACAACAAATATAGCAAAAATACAAATAGAAACGTAAAATTAACATTAATTTACTAATGAGTACGCCGTGATGTGCCGAATACAGAGAGTTTAGCTACTTGCACTGTCTTCAGATTTTCCCCAAAAAATATTGCTAACGTGGTTCGGAGAAAAGGTTGTGAAATGAAGCCATGCCGATTGATGATTGTCGTCTATGTGTATTATTAGTTTCTTCGGACAAACAACCTTCGGTCTCTGTCAACAGAAGTTTCTCGGTTTACAGTCTCGGTATACAATTTTGCCGGTTGACCTCAACAATTGTAAAATGTGTACCTATAGATAGTTCTCAAAGTAATTGAGCAAAAGCGTAACATTTGTGAGTAGCATGCTTCATAAAACACTAAACTTAGCCCTAAAAGTAAGCGTGCATTTTGTTCCTGGCACTGATTGGTTAATAAGTGAATACAATTGTTGAATGCACGATGCACTCAAAAGATTAGCAGCTGGGAAAGGCTATTCAACAAAAAGTACGCTTTCGTACTCAAAAAAAGGATTACCCTTTTACAACTTTGACAACTTTGAAGCATGAACTTCGGAAGATCTAACGAAATGTACTTACTGTTACCCTGTGGATCCCAGGGTTTTGATATGTTCTACAAAGTCATGCAAAGACAGACCATATGTACTAAAAGTATATACCTGCTAGTTATATCTGTGACACTTGTATGATACGTATTCCACTTTGAACCAATATCTATTTCAATATTGTGAAAATATATATTTCCCAAATTATGAAATAAATGAGCTTGTATTCGCGAATGCCACTAACGCCTGTCGGCTTCCGGATAAACCTACTATACTATTTTATGGGCAATTCATTAAAATATGAATGGAATATTGTCAGGTTCTTTTCATATTTAAATGAGTCGCCCATAGAATGGTAGGTTAATCCGGTAGCTGAAATCTCCCATTCCCAAATCATAGTCTTAGCTTGTATTCGCAAATGCAACTAACGCCTGTCGGCTACCGGATTAACCTATTATTTTACTGGAAACTCATGTCAATACGAATAATACCTGCCACTTTTCCATTCATATTTAAATGACTTGGTCATATAATACTGGGTTAATCAGGTAGCCGACAGGCGTTAGTTGCATTCGCGAATATAAGGTTAGCTTGTATTCAATAATGCAAGAAACGCCTGTCGGCTACCGGATTAAACTACCTCTGGAGTCATCGGGGTTTTAAAGCGGCGTGCAAAGCGTAATCGGGTACACCCCAGTTCTCCGAAACCCAGTTCTCCGAAACCCAGTTGTCCGAAACCCAATTCCCCGTAACCCAGCTGTCCGAAACCCATTACTCCGAAAAATAGTCCTAATTTACCAGAGAATGGGGGGGGGGCGTAGCTTACTTAATCTTACGTCAGTTTCATGCCATGTATTTGGCCAAATTAATGGCATGGACGCATTCTGATATTCATAGATCTCTCTCTCACTTTGAATTGCATCCATTGCATGGCGTTACCAGAATGGCAGGAACGGGAGATTTATTTTACATTGTGATTCTAAAAAAGGTTATTAAAACACAATATATATTACGGAACAGTTTATCTTATCTTCTTCAATCTCTTTTATAGAGGTAAAATAAAATGAGATAAAGTAAAAGAGACCGACTTGGGCAAGGCTAGAAATGTATTTGTTTGACAATAATTAGAGAAAGTGCGTATACGTATAAATACGCCACGCAAACAAACGGGTGTGACTTCAATTTCTTGTCTGTCTGAGGACGTATTGGGAACGAGGTAGAATTAAAGAATTCATATGAAGGAGTCATGCAAGATACTAGAACTAGTAAAGTAATGTATTGGATAAGTTAATTTCTGATGGATCTGGATAAAATATATTTCAAAACTTTGTCAACACTAGATAACTTCATTTAGGCAGATATAGTATCTTGATATATTTGGCTATCATGCGTTTAAAATACGTTCCTAAAACTATGAAGACGTTAGGTGAGAAATATTGCTATTGTAACAGTTTGGCCTATTTTTGTGGATAAATGTGGTAGCGTGGCTAATAGGCCCACTGTTTAGTAAACGGTGTTTACTTGGTGAGTTACACGGCACACGTTAAATGTGCGATTGTCCCTAAAGAATTAAACAGACATATACAATTAACTATAAAATATAAAACAGTATATTGTGGCATTTATAAGCCCAAATAAAGATCTACATTAAATTTCAAGTATGAATATTAAAATACTACAATGTTAATATCTCTCTCAAAACTCAACTCAAAAGTCCATATAAGCTAATATTTATCACTAATAAAACAATATCCAGAGTCCATATAAACTAATAATTATCACTTATGAAACAATATCCAGAGTTCATATAAACTGAAATGGATGATCACTATATAACACTGTTGTATCTCCAATATCCAAAAGTTCATATATGTTGTAACACTTCTAAGTTCCGTATTGTACTTGAACCTGGAATAGTAAGCGGACACAAAACCATCTAAGTCCAAATATCTGTTGTGTAAACTCCTAAGTCCTGGATCCTTTTCAAGGTGTTGTAGTATAATTAAACTTATCAAGTCAACTATCGGCTCGGTAAATGTCTATCTCCTGGATCTTAAGTCAAACTATTGCTCCGTAAACGGCTATCTCCTGGATCCTCTTCACTGTATTGTAGTATAATTCAGCTTTGATAATGTGAAATCATCAAGTCAACTATCGGCTCTGTAAATGGCTATCTCCTGGATCCTCCTCTCTGTGTTGTAGTATAATTCAACTTTGATTATGTGAAATAATCTAAGTTAAACTATCGGCTCTGCAAATGGTTATCTCCTGGATCCTCCTCTCTGTGTTATAGTATAATTCAACTTTGATTATGTTAAATAATCTAAGTCAAACTATCAGGTCTGTAATCGACTATCTCCTGGATCCTCCTCTCTGTGTTGTAGTATAGTTCAACTTTGATTATGTGAAACAATCCAAGTCAAACTATCGGCTCGGTGAATGGCAATCTTCTGGATCCTCCTCAATGTGTTGTAGTATAGTTCAACTTTGATTATGTGAAATAATCTAAGTCAAACTATCAGTTTTGTACACGGCTATCACCTGGATCCTCCTCAATGTAGATGTATATTCTAACTTCAATGACCCAAAATCATCAAAGTCAAAATATCTCGCTGGATAATCTGCTAAGTCCTAGAACCTCTACAATGTAGATGTATATTCTAACTTCAATGACCCAAAATCATCAAAGTCAAAATATCTCGTTGAATAAACTGCTAAGTCCTAGAACCTCTTCAATGTAGATGTATATTCTAACTTCAATGACACAAAATCATCAAAGTCAAAATATCTCGTTGAATAAACTGCTAAGTCCCAGAACCTCTTCTCTGTAGATGTATAAGTCAAACTATCACAATCTTCAAACTACCAAGTCCAAGAACGTCTAATACACGGCATCAACTGATAAGTCCATGTAGCCTACTTCCTTCACAATTAAATAATAAGGCTACCTACAAATATAGCATGCACACAACGACATATGCAAAAATATAACATGTGAAAATATTTGCCCTTTAAATTGACTAAGTTAATTTAATGTTAAGTGATACTGATATTAAAATATTCTAAGTTCAATATTTCTCTTTCCAAAAACAACAAAGTCCAAAATAATGTTTCACCAAATATTGACTAAGTTAATTTCATACTATGTTATACTGATGTTAAAAATATTCTAAGTTAATTATTTCTTTCTCCAAAAACAACAAAGTCCAAAATAATGTTTTACCAAATATTGACTAAGTTCAATAATGTTGTAAATCGTCTAAGTTCCTTGATGATCCAAATAGCTTAAGTTTCTCAAACACAAGTTATGTCAGCATTTCCTCTCAGTCTATGAAGGCTGGACAATACGTCTAATGCTTTGCTCTGGGGATAGCTTCACCCTGTTGAAGTTTTGTCCAGTCTTGTAGATCTCCCTTACTTCCAGTGCGGTAAATAAACTAAGTTCCACTCACTTAGCTACACAAAGTTTCCCAAAAATCCAAGTTCCAAAATAAACTAAGTTTCGCACACTTAGTTTCCTCAATCTGCCCTTGTATACTGCAAACGTATAGCTTGGCTCATCAGATGTATTCTACTAAGGTACAGCTTCTATCTTCATGTGTATACTGCAAACGTATAGCCTCAACGCCACAAAATCGACTAAGTTCTATAAAACTTAGAAGATTTTAGCTGTTTCCCGAAATTCCGCTCTGGAGGTCCTTCCTCGACAACATCTGGCATCGCACTGACGGGCCTTCAACAGCGAGATACTTATTTAGGCCCGATGACGTCATCGATTTTCGGACAAGATTTCAACTGTGAATTACAGCTTATTTACGCCATATTTCGCTTCAATATTGATCATACAGCAAGATTATAATATTGACTCAAGAAATATAACAGTAATTAATCACTATCTAGTCTAATTTCACTTCGATTCAATCGAATCAAAACCAGGAAGTAAAATAATAAAGCTGTCATGTTAGACTACCGATCAACTACAAATTAGACTGCCAGATAAGACTGCCCAATCAACATAAACAAAATCTTGATGAAATAAATAAAATATGCGAACTATTTCACCTCTGTAAGTACAATTTTAGTGCTGCAAATGATACTACAATTATAAATCTCAATGGGAAATTACTTTCCAAGTGTAATAATTACCTAATGAACAAAAACACAGCACTTAATTAAAAATCAAAAATTTTACATTTAAAATTCCGTTACACTCCCCCCTACCAAGATATTGGTACGTCCTCGTACCAAACTAAAACATAAATGTACTTTCTAACTAACTTCAAACTTACAAAATATCTAACTTGCCAAAAATGTTTAACATGTCAAATATGTTCAACCCCGGGGTTAACTAACTATCAGTACAATGTTCAAGTTTCTAACTACTTGAATATCTAACTATCCAAAGTTATCTAGATATCTAACAAGTTAACACCTAACTATGTTTCACTTCACATATTTAAAATTATACTCATGTGAATTTACTCTCTCTTGTAGCGTTTCCTGGATGATTGAGACCTGGACTTCCACCTACTCTCACCGGATCTGGATCTCCAATCACGATCCCTGCTAAACCTTCTGTGACGTGGGAATCTGTCTGGAAGGTCTGCTTCACGAGTACGGTTTGTCCTGTTAAGCTCATTTGATGCTCTGTGTCTCAATCGGGAAATTCCTCAGCACAATAATCGGATCTATCTCTATCATCTCGGTATTCTGATGTCCTTGTTTGGTAATGTCGGTAACTGTATTTATCTGGTCTCCAACCAAGTCTGTAATCAGCTGACCTTGATCTATCACGACCAGAACTGTAACAACCTGATCTCTTATCAGATCCGTAATGTCTATAAATACGGACTTCCTCAGGATGAATTCCACTACCATGCCCGAATCTGGAATACGATCTTGACTGGTGACTATCCCTGCTAGTTCCAGGCTGGTTGTACACATCATTATGTTCAGAAATCTCAGCCACAAAATCATCCAAGTGTCTGGGACGTTTGCGTTCCCTCCTGGAAGGTTTTTCATCCACTTCCTTCTTGGGTGATGTCTTGACAGCTTTCTTGGAGTCTGAAGTTTCATTTGGTAAAATGGGTGAAGAGTCTCTTTCAGGCTCTACTTTAGGCTTTTCTTCCTGTTCTGTACAATTCTTGACATTTCTGGAACTCTCTTTCTCAAAAGTCAGTTTACATTTCCCATAATCTAATCTGGCCTTAGAAACAGCTAGATAATCTGTCTCTAATATCCCCTCAGAAATAATATCAGCTACAATAACCTCTAGTTTCTCTACATGTCCACCAATATTAACCTCGACTTGTGTAACACCCTGCATATGCAAAGGTTTCCCACCAGCTTGTACAAAGACCTTCTTAGGTGGTTCAAGTTTAGGTTGCTTGTGTTGAGGCATCTTCCTATAAACGTTTGAACTAACAATAGTTCTTGCTGACCCAGAATCTACTACAAAGTCAACATCAGTGTCACATACTGTTCCATTGATCACTATTTTTTTTATTTTTTTTTATTTATTTATTTGCCAAACACTTTTTAATCAGTGGCATAATGGAAAATTCCAGTGCGGCAGTACATAAAACAAATACATATTCATAAAATACAATACAATACAGATAGATAGATAAAACAAATATGTTAAATTGTACATATGTTATGAGTTTAAAATATCGTTATTAATAGTCACTAAAAATTGTTTGACACACTTGTCAAACAAGAATCTTTGGTCTTTGCCCCAAATACTAAAAACAACATCTCTGCGTATCTTTGAAAAACACAACATCGTTTCTCTGTGGGGATATGGATCTAACTGTAGCAATCTGGCTAGATTTCCCAAGTACTTCCCTTTTTTGCTCTTCGACACGCTTCCTTAAATAACAGTCTGCTATTTGATGTCCAGGCTTCTGACAGTAGAAACACTTGCGTCTGTTACTAATGTTCCCACTATTTATGGACTCACTTAAGATGCCTTTCTTGATATCACTCTGTCTTGTATGACATTCAGACTGATAATGTCCTAACTTGTCACAATAAAAACATTTGATGTCTCTGGACATACGCCTTTTCTCTCTAGTCTCTTGTGTGTCCTTCAACTCTTTAATCATCTTTTTAAGAATAGCTGTAGATTCTTCGTGCATCCCTTGCACCAACTACATAAGATTAGCTGTAGATTCTTTATGCATTTCCTGTAATGCCTTCATTAGTTTCATAATTTCATTTTCAGTCTGTTTCTCTTCTACAGCATTAATTCCCTCATCTTGATGTCTTGGTTTTAAGCCTTTGCGTATCCTTTCAGACTCAAGGTAAGACTCCTCTCTTATGGCAATTTCGATAGTTTTGTCCAAAGTGCTACAATATTTGCTATTATTACGAATGGCACGCCTAATTTCATCATCAGGGATAGCCTGTGCAAAACGTTCCCTAGCCAAACGATCTTTAGCAGCCCAATGTAACTCAGGATATGCTAATGATGTCAGCCGTCTGACATCTTGACCAAGAGTTTGTAGTGTTTCCTTAGGCTTACGAGTTCGGCTCGCCCATTCTGCTTGATACACATCTGATTTTCCTCCTGGACCAAACCTTTTATCTAAGGCAGACACCAACTCATTATACGTATAGCCAGGGTCCATCTCATAGATGAGTTGTTGCGCTTGACCCCTAAGGATAGTTGCAAGAAACTATTTCTTCTCTTCATCACTCCATGAATTAGCACTTACACACATGGCAAAATAGGCTTTGTAGTCAATCCATGGTGTAGTTCCATTGTAAGTATCAGGTTTTATCTTTGTCTTGCTTTGAGAAGCAGTTCTCTTAGGTATCGTCTCCTCCAATACCTTCCCAACTAATTTAGTCGTCTCTTCATGCATCTTTGCAAACTGTGCTATCACAGAAGGCATTGCATCATTCATTGGTACGGACGTTTCCTGTTCTTGAGGAGTAAAATGTGTCATATTTGCATTAGTCTGCAGAGCTTCTTCATATCTGGTTTCAGCCCCATTCTGTAGTTCATCATATGTAGATCGGTATCTACCATTGGAAGACTGACTTTGAGTCTGCTGAGGCACAAACATTCTTTTACTCGGTGTTCCCACCAACTTTGTCTCTCCGAATCCATAGTCATCTTCTGACTTTACAGCTGCAACTCTCCTTTTTGTCGGAGGACTCTTAAATGCAGGTCTCTTTGGCAATCCTGGAAAATCTTCATCAGAAGCAATTCTCTTCTGGCGTATGAGTGGCCACTTTGGGGGAGTTACTATTCGTTTTGGTTCAGCAGGTAATTCCTGATTAACTACTGTAGGCCCCCCTACCACTCCTTGCTGTGGATTAAACATAGGAAGAACTTGTCGAGACTGCAATCTCTGCGGAGTTACACTAGACTTAACCTATAATATTGTTCTGGATTCTAGACTTGTTCCTGATGTCACTACAGGACTTGAAGGTCTGACGTTACCCTGTAAAACTGGTTCAGGGCGAGAAGTTGGACCTTGTAATGCCATCCGTAAGGTCTGGCATAAGTTATTCATCTCTTCCTTAAATTCCGCCTTCAAAGTTCCAATATGATCTTTGATCTGTGTGACTTCTCCACCAATGTTGTTGACCTGGCTTCCCATGTTAGACATGTGTCCTTCCATATGAGACATCTGTCCCTCCATTATATTTATGGTGGTCACATTCTGGTTTATGGCATCTTCCATAACATGTATATGTGTTTTCATTTCTCTATCAACTGGTCTTTCCTGCATGCCCAGTTTAAGTTCTGCAGGTGTAGTTATCATTGTCGAGGTGCGAGGCATGAATCTATCTCCTTTTGGTCTGGCTCCCCATGCTTGACTCTGTGGACTATAAACACCATCATGTACTGTGCCTGACCAATAGCCAGTAGTCTGTCCACTCCAGGCTTTCTTAAACTCGGTTTCTATCCCAGTCTTATCACTAGGGTAGATTGCTTCTGCACCACCAACTGTAGTGCGTCTCTCATCTGGATCTGACTCACTTGGCAGCTTCCATTTCTCCATCGCTGGGAGCTCTGTAGCCATGTGTTCCGTAGCCTTTCTTCCTGTATATTGAAGAGTGTCATCCTTGGCTATGGGATTATCTATCTCACTATCTGTAGCTAACTTTACGAAGACAGTTTTCTCTACATCTTTAGACTTGTCTGTATTTTTATCAGAGAGATCACCACTCTCTATCGACTTTGGATCCTCTGTATCCATCTTTAAAGTGCTATAATGTGCCTCTGGTTCAATTCCTCAGAAACAGTCAATCCCAACACCGCTGCCACCAATGTAACAGTTTGGCCTATTTTTGTGGATAAATGTGGTAGCGTGGCTAATAGGCCCACTGTTTAGTAAACAGTGTTTACTTGGTGAGTTACACGGCACACGTTAAATGTGCGATTGTCCCTAAAGAATTAAACAGACATATACAATTAAATATAAAATATAAAACAGTATATTGTGGCATTTATAAGCCCAAATAAAGATCTACATTAAATTTCAAGTATGAATATTAAAATACTACTATGTTAATATCTCTCTCAAAACTCAACTCAAAAGTCCATATAAGCTAATATTTATCACTAATAAAACAATATCCAGAGTCCATATAAACTAATAATTATCACTTATGAAACAATATCCAGAGTTCATATAAACTGAAATGGATGATCACTATATAACACTGTTGTATCTCCAATATCCAAAAGTTCATATATGTTGTAACACTTCTAAGTTCCGTATTGTACTTGAACCTGGAATAGTAAGCGGACACAAAACCATCTAAGTCCAAATATCTGTTGTGTAAACTCCTAAGTCCTGGATCCTTTTCAAGGTGTTGTAGTATAATTAAACTTATCAAGTCAACTATCGGCTCGGTAAATGTCTATCTCCTGGATCCTAAGTCAAACTATTGCTCCGTAAACGGCTATCTCCTGGATCCTCTTCACTGTATTGTAGTATAATTCAGCTTTGATAATGTGAAATCATCAAGTCAACTATCGGCTCTGTAAATGGCTATCTCCTGGATCCTCCTCTCTGTGTTGTAGTATAATTCAACTTTGATTATGTGAAATAATCTAAGTTAAACTATCGGCTCTGCAAATGGTTATCTCCTGGATCCTCCTCTCTGTGTTATAGTATAATTCAACTTTGATTATGTTAAATAATCTAAGTCAAACTATCAGGTCTGTAATCTCCTGGATCCTCCTCTCTGTGTTGTAGTATAGTTCAACTTTGATTATGTGAAATAATCCAAGTCAAACTATCGGCACGGTGAATGGCAATCTTCTGGATCCTCCTCTCTGGGTTGTAGTATAATTCAACTTTGATTATGTGAAATAATCTAAGTTAAACTATCAAGTCTGTAAACGACTATCTCCTGGATCTTCCTCAATGTGTTGTAGTATAGTTCAACTTTGATTATGTGAAATAATCTAAGTCAAACTATCAGTTTTGTACACGGCTATCACCTGGATCCTCCTCAATGTAGATGTATATTCTAACTTCAATGACCCAAAATCATCAAAGTCAAAATATCTCGCTGGATAATCTGCTAAGTCCTAGAACCTCTACAATGTAGATGTATATTCTAACTTCAATGACCCAAAATCATCAAAGTCAAAATATCTCGTTGAATAAACTGCTAAGTCCTGGAACCTCTTCAATGTAGATGTATATTCTAAATTCAATGACACAAAATCATCAAAGTCAAAATATCTCGTTGAATAAACTGCTAAGTCCCAGAACCTCTTCTCTGTAGATGTATAAGTCAAACTATCACAATCTTCAAACTACCAAGTCCAAGAACGTTTAATACACGGCATCAACTGATAAGTCCATGTAGCCTACTTCCTTCACAATTAAATAATAAGGCTACCTACAAATATAGCATGCACACAACGACATATGCAAAAATATAACATGTAAAAATATTTGCCCTTTAAATTGTTAATTTAATGTTAAGTGATACTGATATTAAAATATTCTAAGTTCAATATTTCTCTTTCCAAAAACAACAAAGTCCAAAATAATATTTCACCAAATATTGACTAAGTTAATTTCATACTAAGTTATACTGATGTTAAAAATATTCTAAGTTAATTATTTCTTTCTCCAAAAACAACAAAGTCCAAAATAATGTTTTACCAAATATTGACTAAGTTCAATAATGTTGTAAATCGTCTAAGTTCCTTGATGATCCAAATAGCTTAAGTTTCTCAAACACAAGTTATGTCAGCATTTCCTCTCAGTCTATGAAGGCTGGACAATACGTCTAATGCTTTGCGCTGGGGATAACTTCACCCTGTTGAAGTTTTGTCCAGTCTTGTAGATCTCCCTTACTTCCAGTGCGGTAAATAAACTAAGTTCCACTCACTTAGCTACATCAAAGTTTCCCAAAAAT